TAGGTCTTCCATGCGCTCATCCACCCCATCCTTGCAATGTGCGTCCTTTCTGTCGTCAAGGACAGCCTCATTCTTGAGCTTTTCCCTGTGTTTAACACCTTCCCCKTCACTCTGCCTCTCTCACAGCGTGCAAGTGGGCTGTTATGGCATACGGGGATGGGGGTAGCTCGCGCTCAACTTCATCAACGTGGCGAGCCTTGCACGTGAGAGGCACRGTGGAGGTGGAGTTCAAAGAAGAATGAGAAATTTAATGGTTTCAATCTGCCCTTGTTTTTTCTTTTTGTTTTTATTTTTATTTTTGCATGTTATCACTGTGCCCGTTTTTTGCTTTTATTCTTTGTTCCGCAAAGTGCGCTCTTTTAGTTTGTAGTTATGTGACAATATATATATATTATATAAGGTGGATTATCACTTACAGTGGAATCAGTTAGGGGATTCTGCCGGCTGTTGAGGGTTCAGCCTCCTGATGAGTCGGTGAAACTCCGACGAAACAGTTTGCCACAGCCCCTCGTTTGGTGTCCTCTTCTCCCTCTCTGCCTACGGTTTACCGGGCAGCTCTGTTTGACTATACACTGCCCAGTAAACCGTAGGCAGAGAGGGAAAAGAGGACAACAAACGAGGGGCTGTGGCAAACTGTTTTGTCGGAGTTTCACCGACTCATCAGGAGGCTGAACCCTCAACAGTCTGCAGAATCCCCTAACTGATTACACTGTAAGTGATAATCCACCTTAACCCCGGCTGTGGTTAAGCATCAATGACTGCCCAACAACTGATACCCTGAGGTGGGCACCAACCACTGCCCTCAAGGTACCTGTGGCAAAAGTCAAAGCAGACTATCACTCACCCACACCAGATGGAAAACTCTACAGACTGTAGGCAAACAGAGCTGCCCAGTAACCTGCACATCAAGAAAGGGCCCATAATGCATGCTTTTATGAGGGACCTTTTGAAAAGGATTGCCAGCCACCTGGGTCCCCGACAGAAGGAGCTTAAGACTTGCCACAAAATAGCAAAGGAGGCTTTAAAATTACACTCTGCATAACAGTTTGCTAACGGGACAACGGCGACCAAGAGGCAGATGGAGGGCTGCAATGGGTTCACTCCTATGCACAGGAGGAGAACCCAGCAAGCATCAGGGCAATATGCATGTTGCAGTTACTGAAGGGCCGGCGTACTTCAGTGACAACACCAGTGGGGAAAGTTCAAAGGATGAGAGAGAAGAGACTTCCCAACAAAGAGAGAGGAGAGAAGCATCTGGTTTGCAGGGAGAGCAAAACCAGACATTCTTGCTGCACTCCAGGAGTTAACAAAAGGGGTAGGCCAACAGCTGCCGCAGCAGCAAGGGACCATGACACAGCAGAGCGGGCGGGAAATATGATGTCCCAACCAAAGGAAACAAAGCATGGTTACTACTGCAGGACATGATTGGAGTGACAAAGAGAGCATGGACAGAATCAAGATCGAGAATGGTCTGCGTGCGAGATGCGGCCGAAGGGGACACTCCAGACAAGATTGGATAGATCAGCAGTCTCAGCAGTCTTTTTTATCTTGTCTATGCCTATAAGAGCTTACTTCATCTCTCCTTCATGAGCTCTTCGGAAACCATAAAACTAGAAACATCTATCGCTGAGCAGTGAGACACTTGCTTCGTGGATCGATCGAGGATCGTTATCCTGGCTCAGGATGATCACCCACAGCATGCAAAGCTCAAGCTAAACCTCCAATCCAGTACTCAGTGATGGCTGCATGAGTCAGTCACTCACTCGTCAGTGGTCTACCATGAGTGGCAAACAGAAGCCTGAAAATGCTCCTAAGGAGTCACAGGGCATCCTGTGTCTGAATTGGTGCGGGGATGACTCTCAACTACCACCCCATTTTTAGGACAGACGTGGTTCCCATATGCCATACAATCATTCAGCTGATCCATTGGATGGCCACCTCAGCAGGCATCCGCAGAAACTGGCCAGGCCCAAAAGACAGTTGAGAAAGGGGAATGGTGGCTTCATAAGGTAATTTCACCCAAGTCCTGATAAGTTCACTCTCGTCAGTCCTACTTGCTCTGTGAGCATGATAAGAACTGCTGCTAGCACCGGCGGAATCCACTCCCCAAGATCAGGCATTCCAGTGCCCTTTTTCTATCATATGTTGGCTACCTCCACTTGTTCCGGTCATCATGCAACAGGCCAGGCAAATGGCCAGTAAATGCACAATGTTCACGGCCAAAGCGAATTCCATTCAATTTGTCCCTTGCTCAACACCCCTTCCAGAGTAAAAGTTCTGAAGCAGTGAATCGTCTAAACTTGGTGGGCAATAGTCCATGTCCATGGATACGAGCGCATATTCCATTAAGCCCATAATGCATACGTATCGACTCCATCGAAAAGCATATGGAGGGCGCGTGACAACAAATGGAAACTTGTGTGCTGGAACACAAGACCTGTTCCATGCAATCTGTTTGCTTGTCAAGGATCTCCACCATATACTAACAAAAGCACACGTCCAAGCTGGCTGGCCTACACTGCTACATCTAGTCCTCGGCAATCACCTCACATCTGCCTTTGTAAAACTGCAGAATGGTCTCACATTCATCCTCTGCCTCTTTTCATTTATCCATCCCATCCATTTTCCAGTTCTTGAAACAGTCCAGAAGAAAATTTTGTTGGATTGGTTTGTTGCCTTTGCGCTTCTCGCTCGCAGGACAATGAAGAGGTTATTTTCATTACAAAATTGCAGGGTAAACAAACATATCGCATATAATACATACGTAATTGGTTAAACAGTGTGGCTATAAGCATAGGGGACAGGAAGGAAAAGGGAGAATCGAGGAGGAGGAATACATCTGACAGCGGCGGCGAGGAAGAGGGAAGAATATGGATGCTGAGAGGGAGAAAGATCTCTACCTTGTTGACAAAGAGTATGATCAATCCACAAATGAAGCTGGAGGGCAAAATCTGAACAACAAATGGGTAATAATAAACAATATGGACATTAGATTGATGGATGTCACCAGGGTATTTCCATTCCACATTCGGAACGATAGGTAGGACGCAGAATCCGTAGAGCCCTTCACAGCATGTTCATAACAACTTGTACGTTGTTTTAGGGGACAAATCTTGCTGCGCATTCCAATGGGCGATAGCCAGGAGTCTACCTTATGGAAGACGTTGGCATCCTTGAGCCTGTCAAGCAAGTCATCAATAAGCCGTTGTGAGTACTGGATCGACCGTTTGCCGAGCTGCTTGGTAAGGGCAGGTTCATGAAGGGAGTTCATCCATCACAATCACACGATGAAGCCCCTTATCAACCGGCCCTCGTTTTGTGAAAATCTTCTTCGAGCTCGCTTGCCTGACTTTACCCACAAAAAAAAAAGGTTCAATGCCACACATCATGCACGCTCTTCTCTTGTCCTTTCCTTTCGAGTGAGATGTTTGAAGCTTGAAATACACCCGATTTCATCATCATACATAGGCAACCCCCCTCTTCACAAGCTCTCACACAGTTCCGAAAGACACCATTCCTTATGCAGACATCCTATTTTACCAGCTCCCTAGTTCATCTCCAGTGCTCTACAAGACCTCGACGACGGCAGACAGTAGACCTCAAATTAAGCACTTCAAACTCCGGTTCAGGTCAGCAACATCACTAACTCTCAGCGCTCAAACGGCACTCGACAACATAGAGAAGGGCTTAGGCCATGAATATCTGCACACCCTCGAGCAAAATCTCTGAAGGCTTCAGTCCTTTTCCTGTGTTCTGAACGGCTACTGAGCCTCAACAGCTATCCACAAGTTGAAGGAATCCTTGATGACTGATTGGATGGCATTCCATGATTCCATGCACCTCTCTCCCAGACCAGAAAGGACTAACATGACTGGTAAAAAAAAAAAAAGAAAAAAAAATGGACCAGAAGTTCATCTTAGATAGCACGTGCCAGGCTGTCCTCCATCAAATCAAGGGAGCTTCCTGAAAACTGCTGCCCTGGCTAGATGATAAAAACTTAACCTCTTATCCAATGATGAATGGCCTCTACAAGCAAGAACTGCCTTGTCTAGTGAGGAGACTGTAACCAGGTATTGCCCTGGTCAGCGCTAAAACGATCGGGATGAAGAAAAAAAAAAAGAAAAAGAAAAGAAAAAAAGAAAAGGAAAAAAAAGCAATTGGCTCAAGACAAATGAACCGAGGGTCATGCTTCAGGCTTTAGATTATGACTACAGCCTAAAAAGTGTTTCAAAATTGAAAACTGAAAACTAGAAAAGTCATTCCACTTTATCTTCTCCGAATCCTTCCAATTTTAATGGATGTCCGAAAAATCAAGAAACGGTCCAGTTTTTTTATCCTACACAAGGAAAATAAAAAGAAAAAAAAACAAAGAAACGTATGTCCACTTCCATAGGTGGAGTCATTTGCTGTGCTGCAATTACAACCTTTACTGAGATTGTAGAAGGCTGGTTTGTTCATATTAACGAGGCCCTTGAACGAGTGCCAGCACATGTACCAAAGGAGCATGTCTATATCAGTTCACCCATCCTTCAGTACTTATATGAGGTTCGCATAGTCACAAGGTCACACCCTAAAATGCCTTTAGTCTATAATAATACCTAGAGGATTATGTGGTTCCATCTTGTGGGAGATCTATAAACCACGGAAGATTCTGGAAGAAAACGGCACAAGATATCAAAGGTAAATTGTATGCTTTCCAAGCCTGAGATATGGGTACCCCCAAGAACCCAGGCTACGTTCAGAGTGAGTAGATCTTTTCTTCACAAGAGCAACCCTCTGCTCAGTATAAAAGTTTCTCAAATCCACATGCACTGCACTCAGTGCAAGCAGAAAACGCAGTGCAAGAAGTCTAGTGGTGAGGCTTTGTGGGAGGGAGGCCCCAGGGAGGGCGGAAGTTAGAGAGCAAGAGAGGGAGGAGAGTTGTGTGCCTTCCACAAAATCAGGGCTCATATGACAAGGCAGCCATCATCAGAAATGCAGTCTGTGGTTTCGTGGATTACCTGACTTTCGATGATGTCGTTCCATCAGCCTCTTCTTGCTCTACTAGCCTGTCAAAGACAACGCACAACAATGGAATCAGCAAAATAATACCAGGGTCCATGTCCTATTTTAGGTAGGAAAGAGAGAAATGACATCGCCAGCAGAAGCACTACTGACCAGTTCGACATGAATCCACTGCAGCCGTGAAATGTAGTGTGCAGAGGCTCATACTTCAAAGGACATTTTTTGAGGAATCCGCCCGCAAAGGCTGAGAACACACAGAAACAACATAGACAAGGACGGCTAACATTGAAGAACAGATAGTTATCAGTGGCAGCATGACGATGAGAGCAATGCGACTGCCAAGCACTGCACGACTGGTGCTACCACTCATGCACAAGCTGCTCCAAGAGTGAGAAGCGAGACTATCAGCTCAAAGTGGCTCTTCGTTGGAAGTCCGTCACCCGCAGAATATCAGACATCCAACAAAGAGCGCACAAACGACATGCCGGCACAGTCATCCTGCAGAATTGCATGTATTTCTTCGGTAATGGGGTTTTGAGCATGAGTTAACCCCACACATTTCAATAGGCAAAAGGCACAGAAAATGACCAAGAAAACCAAACCCACAGAGCCTCCAGCTACGACATGCCGGCACAGTCATCCTGCAGAATTGCATGTATTTCTTCGGTAATGGGGTTTTGAGCATGAGTTAACCCCACACATTTCAATAGGCAAAAGGCACAGAAAATGACCAAGAAAACCAAACCGCACAGAGCCTCCAGCTCACACAGACCAATCGCTCAATAACATTATCAACTGATCATATACCTCATGCAATCAAGTGGAATAAATACCCTCGATAAGGACTCGTCCTGCTCCCCATGCTGTCAAAGAGGAATAAATACATCCTTGATAAGTATTCACCCTGCTCAATGTATGCGATATGCTCTTTGGAGTCCATCGGTTCATAAATTCTCAACAAAAGAGAAGTGACATTCAATGAACTTGCTTCTCTGGACTGCCCCTTGCCCACAGCGAATTTTGTGAACGTTTCTCTACACTTACGCCTCTGAGTACTGACTTTGAAGAGCACCAGGAGGACAACAGCTTTGATTTCTATGTGAACATGTCCGGTTGGAGAAGAAAAAAGGAAACAAAGAATGACATAGCATTAACTGAGATGTGTACAGAAAAGCATGAGCACACCATGACACCAAAACAAGCCACTTTCCTTCCTTTTTTTTTTTCCAGGCACCGCCTGGTCCCCGCTGACTGGCTCTGCCATCCACGCCAAAGGTGCTCCCCAAAACTCCTCATAGAAAGGCTATGCTGGCAAATAGGTATTAAGAACATACTCCACACCCTCTCAACGAGACTGCCTACTTGTCATCATGCTATTAGAATGCATGTCTCGCGATCAGCGAAGACACTACGCGGCTTCAACACAGAAACCTGCAATTTAACAAAGGTGCAAAAATGCGAGCCTTGAGCAACAAGGGCACATATGCATTTCAGTCATAACAGGCATACATACCGGTATTGGATGACAGCATGTTGCTTACTGCATGATGGGTGGTCTGTTGGAACATCGGCAACCTGCATTGAGGTGAACCAAGAGCAGAACACAGCAAACAGAATAAAGGCGGGTCATTGTTAGTTTCCACGGTGTACAAGCAATCAACGGCGCAAAGCAATCCACGCTAAGCACCGGGACCTGCCAAATTCGTCAGACTACACATTCCAAACTAGGGAGTTATCAACATCAACCATTCCGAGTTAAGCCAGCCTGCATCACAAACCCTGGTTATAGGACCGAGATAAATAGAGCCCTTGCCACCCTGAAAGGCTGGAGGTCTACAGGCTCAGTATTTGTTCCTGGAATGCCGCGGGACCTGGAATGCCGCAGGAACAAAGACAAGCCCAGCTCAACCTTCGTTTTCTGAATGCAAAAGTCCCCGGGTGCAATAGCGAGGTGCAACAAGGTGAACACCAAGAGGCAAGAAAAAAGATTACTTGCGCTCATCTTCACGCAAGCAAGTCAGGGACGACATGAAAAGTACACAGAAGTAGACACTCGGGTTCATCTCATTGCAGCAATACAAAATGGCAGACAAAAGAGAGCTAGCCGAAGGAATCATTTGGCCACCAACGCAAAGGAAAATGCTCAAGGCTATATGGTTAGTTCTCTATTCTCTCAGATATCTAAAAAACAAAAGCATTGGTCTAGCGTGTTGGTAGGTGGGCAAGCGGCAATTAGAGATCAGAACAGTAGAACTGCAAAGAGTGCTCCAGGGGTTGGATTTTTGCCACAAAGTGTCCAATTTCCTGCCGGTTTTCGACATCTCCTCTCGCAAGATGGTGTTCTTCCTGATCACACTAAACTAGCATAGCTCTGCGGCTCATCCAAAAGAACGCCTATGCAGTCCTCAATGTTCAATGCAAAAGCTACTGACAGATGACCTGATTTAGTAGGATATCAGAACGAATCTCAGGAAGACAACTGCCCCTGTCGATCTAACAGAATATGTGAGCAGTTCAGTTACTTATACCAGTACGGACGGCATAGAGAATCTTGGCCCGTAACAAAGAACTGAATTGAACTTCACCCATTGTAAAGAACTGTGTCCTACTTCTGACGTAGTCAGACATGCTCTAGTCCTGCAAGTTACCGTGCAATGACCAAGCAGGACATTGGAAATCAAAAGGAAACGAGGCACGGAAGAAGCAGGCATGGACACACACACACACACACACACACACACACACACGTTGTCTGAACTTGCGTTCTGGCAAACCACAGCTGAGAAATAGTACCAGCACACGCACACACACACACACACACACACACACACACGTTGTCTAAATTCACTTACTGGCAAACCAAAGTCGAGAAATAGTAGTACATCAGAAAAAATAGATCCCACCCATTGTCTAAATTTGGCCTTTTACATCCTGGGATATACAAACTTAATGCTAATATAAGTAGCACATAGAAAAGATAAAGCACACCCATTGTCTGGATTTGGCCTTGTCGTATGTTGTGATGTACAAAATTAATGCTAAATCATAGTAAAATGTCACCCGCGTTAAGGATCCCAAATGCAGACAACAGCTGGCCGCATCGGAGATAGATTACTTACCCTTCGCTCACGCCCAAACAGGTAGCAGCTCTGACGGTGAATGTAGAGTGGATCTACAGGGAACAAAACAAGAAGATATACAGCACCACAAAGACGAAGACCAACCGACCTTCAGGTGCCTTTAAAAGGGAATGGTCACACGCTCACACACGCACACAACAACCAGCACTTTCACCACTCGTGCTTGTCCAGCAGGGTTTATGTAAGGAGAGCATTATCGCATGCAGACTTCAACGAACCATCGGCACTCTGAAGACAATCGACAGATTTGAATATGAGCACGACGAGCAGAGCAAAGAACATACTGCAGAAACACTTGGTTGGGATCTTCTGCTAAATATAGTCGATCAAATTTCAAGGTGCTGGTAAGGAATCGGTTAGCTACCAGAGCACTCGGTCCTCGGGATTAGAACCTTGCATTTTCTGTGAATTAGACCCTTGCATTTCCTGTGGATTAGACCCCTGCATTTTCTGTGAGCCTTGCATTTTCTGTGAATTAGACCCTTGCATTTTCGTTTATGGAACCTTTCTGACCGGTTCTGAGCTCATCTCTATTCCACTCTGTCCCCTGTTGTCTGCAGACTAGCACTTCAGGCTTGCTCATTGGCCAAGAAAAATACAAAAGGAAATCCTCACCTTTGAAGGGCTCTCCTTCTTTGAAGACATACAGTCGCCATCTAATCATAGGTTTCCTTGCTTCAGGAGGTTCCGTAAACAGCAGTGTGACACCTGTTGCCATAAAAGCAAAGGAATATTTACCAATCGGGTTAGCCATGTCTGATTCTGAAAGTGAGAGATTGATAGTCCCTTGCACCATGCCACAATCATTCTAAAGATTGCTCACCGCACCCCAGTACACTGAGATACCATTTCAGGAAATTTCAGCTATATGAAGTGCAAGCCGAACAAGAAAGAAACCTGAGAAACGAATGCCATGTTTCATTGCTGCTGTCATCTGTGCCAGAATTCTTCAAATGTGTCCCAGTCAGCACCAAACACCGACATCATGCATCTCCATCCATACCATTTCAGGCAATTTCAGCTATATAAAGCGCGAACCGAACAAGAACGACACCTGAGAAACGAATGCTGTGTCTCATTGCTGCTGTCATCTGTGCCAGAATATGTCAAATGTGTCCCCGTCAGCACCAAACACCGACATCATACATCTCCATCCATACCATTTCAGGCAATTTTCAGCTATATAAAGTGCGAGCCGAACAAGAAAGACACCTGAGAAACGAATGATGTGTTTCATTGCTTCTGTCATCTGTGCCAGAATATTTCAAATGTGTCCCAGTCAGCACCAAACACCAACATCATACATCTCCATCCATTCTCATATTAGTTTTCGCAGAAAAACTGCATGCTCACAGACGAGCGCACCATCCTCACCGGTGTTCTTTGTTTCTTCTGGATTTCAAGCAGCAGGAAATGGAAGAGCATACGAGTTTCACAGAAAGACTACATGCTCACAGACGAACTCAGATTCATTTTCGCACATACCTCGGAATTTGTTCGTCTCTGCTGCAAGCTTCCCTGAGAGCTCGAATGACGGTTTCGCCTGACAGCACACACAGGCAAACCACATGCCAATAAGTACCAACTCCTTGGATTGAAATAGGATATGGGCTGAAAAGGCCACCCGATGTCAGATTAGACACAATATTGAATTTACCTGGGCTGGTTAGTCCGCCGATAATACCTCAAGGCCATCGTCCTTAAAAAAAAAAAAAAAAAAAAAAAAAAAAAAAAAAA